TTTGCAATTTATTACAAATAAAAAACCAAAAAAACACATGTGCATAAGTATTCAAAGCCTTTGCCATGACACTCAAAATTGAGCTCTGGTGCATCCTGTTCCCACTGATCATCCTTGTGATGTTTCCACAACTTGATTGGAGTCCACCTGTAGGAAATTGAGTTGATTGGACATGATAAGGAAAGGCATAAACCTGTCTATATAAGGTCCCACAGATAACAGCACATTTCAGAGCACAAACCAAGCCATGAAGTCCCAAGAATTGTCCGTAGACCTCCAAGACAGGATTGTATCAAGGCACAGATCTGGGAAAGGGTACAGAAGGTCCCAATGAGCACAGTGGCCTCCATCATCTGTAAATGGAAGAAGTTTGGAACCACCGGGAATCTTCCTAGAGAGGGCCAAAATGAGCAAATCGAGGGAGAAGGGCCTTAGCCAGGGAGGTAACCAAGTACCTAATGGTCACTCTGAAAGAGCTCCAGCATTTCTCTGTGGAGAGAGGAGAACCTTCCAGAAGAACAACCATCTCTGCAGCACTCCACCAATCAGGCCTGTATGGTACAGTAGCCAGACGGAAGCCAATGGCAGCCCGACTGGAGTTTGCCAAAAGGCACCTGAGGGACTCTCAGACCATGAGCATCAAACTCTCTGGTCTGATGAAACAAAGATTGAACTCTTTGGCCTGAATGCCAAGCATCATATCTGGAGGAAACCAGGCACCGCTCACCACCTGGCTAATACCATCCCTACAGTGAAGCATGGTGGTGGCAGCATCATGCTGTGGGGATGTTTTTCAGCTGCAGGAGATGGGAGACTAGTCAGGATCGAAGGAAAGATAAATGCAGCAATGTACAGAGACATCCTTGATGAAAACCTGTTCCAGAGCGCTCTGGACCTTAGACCGGGGCAATGGTTCAGCTTTCAACAGGACAACAACCCTAAGCACACAGCCCACATAACAAAGGAGTGGCTACAGGCCAACTCTGTGAATGTCCTGGAGTGGCCCAGCCAGAGCCCAGACTTGAACCCGATTGAACATCTCTGGAAGAGATCTGAAAATGGCTGTGCACCAACTCTCCCCATCCAACCTGATGGAGCCTGAGAGGTACTGCAAAGAAGAATGGGAGAAATTGCCCACAAATAGGTGTGCCAAGCTTGTAGCATCATACTCAAAACGACTTGAGGCTGTAATTGGTGCTAAAGGTGCTTCAACAAAGTATTGAGCAAAGGCTGTGAATACTTATGTACATGTGATTTTTACGTTTTTTATTTTTAATAAATTGCAAAGATTGCAAAACAAACTTCTTTCACATAGTCATTATGGCATTATGGGGTATTGTTTGTAAAATGCTGAGGAAAAAAATGAATTTAATCCAGTTTGGAATAAGGCTGTAACATAACAAAATGTGGCAAAAGTTAAGCGCTGTGAACACTTTCTGGATTCACTGTAATTTTAAAGTCAGGAGTTTATTTGTTATGAGTATTGTTAATGTTTACATATTGTTCATAATATTTAAAGGCTAAGTTTATCTTTGGGAACATATTCTATGTTACACCCATACTTAGGGTGTAATATGTTGCTAAGCACCCCAAAACCCTCATCCCCTGATTAGCGCACTCATAGTCTTTTTCCACTTCCCCTAGCTTTCTACCTGAAAAAGCTGGAAGTATCTGCAGGAGCCTGAGCATAGATGCAATGCTTTGCCGGCTCCTGTGGGGAAAAAAAATAACAAATGCATATTTTCTCCTGGAAAAATATGTGAATGTATTATTTTTTTCCTTAATGTCGAATTTAGCCTTTATTTATTGATTGCCTTAGTTTATAATAGAAGTGTATGTCATTTTTCAGGTTTTCAGTAATAACGTTGCTCTGTCAGTACATTTTTCATATTTTGTCAGTAAAAAAAAGTAATCAGGGGTTGGTAACACTGGTGCAAATCTGATTCATTTCATTAAAAGTCAGCTTCTCACTCTCAGTCACATAATCCCACCCACCCCTTCAATACCTGTGCCGAATTGAAGGCCCTTTTGACATGACACATGTAGCAGGGCAGGCTAGTATCGCAAGGGCATACTGGGATTCCTCCAACCAGTATATCCTTGACACCCACTTGTCCGTGCATATGATTGCTTGTAAGCATATCAGTTACAGCTTTGTCGTCCCTGCCCATGTTTACTTGACCAGGGCAGGAAACAAGGAATACATTTTTAAAGTAGTTTTACAAATTTGATAAAATTCTAAAAATACAATTATAAAAAAAAATTAAATCTTTAAATAGAATTTATGGCAGGTGGGAAAATGGCTGGGTTTGGACCAGTGTTTGGTTCTCAGTACTATTAAAGGTCAGGTTTCTTCCTTTCTATTTTCTGTTTCAGACACTGTTGGCTTGATTAATCTATTGTACATCCTTTCCCAGTGACTCTGTGGAATCTGAATTTTGTTTTCTCTGCACTTCAGAAACAGTCTATTGCTTAGAGAAATGCCTTAAAGAATGTGTTACCCCAACATTTCAGATTCCTGATATGTGTCTGTTGTATAATATACTTGTGTCAAAAAGTATCCTGTTCTCTGTGTATTGCTTCCTTTGTGCGAAATAGCTGGTGATCCTGTCAGTCCCTCTGCTTTCCTATTTCAAACTGACTATGCTAGGCATGAGAGCACATCCTGGGATGCCTGCCTGTCCTCCAGTGATTAAACTTCTGCTGACACATTCCACCTGTACAGCCAATCACTGGGAAGGGTAGTGTACTTCTGTTTCTCCTCTTCCACTTCTGCAAGCCCCTTATGCAGCTGAGAACAGAAATTATTTGATCACTTGTAAAAGAAGAAGAAAACATTCATTTAATTAAAAAAATATATATATATATACCGTATTTTTCGCTCCATAAGACGCACTTTTTTCCCCAAAAAAGGGGGGGGGAAATGTCAGTGCGTCTTATGGAGCGAATGTAAAGCGGCCGGTCCGGTATTTCTGCCGCCACAATGTGAGAATATTGGCCCGGCCGCTCAGCTCCTCTCTCCTGCAGGACCTTACCTGTTCCTCGCTCCAGCGCTGCAGTCTTCCCGCGTGGCGGCTTCTGTGACAGCCGGGTGCCCACTGCGCATGCGCGAGAAACGCTGCGCTTTGTAAATGGTCCGGTGTCTTCTGGGACAGAAGGCTCCGGGCCATTCACAAAGCGCAGCGCTTCTCGCGCATGCGCAGTGGGCACCCAGCTGTCACAGAAGCCGCCGCGGGAAGAAGAAGGAAGGAAAACTCCTCGGAAGAGGGAGCGGGTACCTCCCCAAAGGTCCGCAGTCTCTGGTAATCTCCTTTACTGTCTGCAGTCTCTGGTCATCCCCTGCACTGTCTGCAGTCTCTGGTCATCTGTACTATGTCCAGTCTCTGGTCATCTCCTGTACTATGTCCGCAGTCTCTGGTCATTCCCTATACTATGTCCGCAGTCTCTGGTCATCTGTACTATGTCTGCAATCTCTGGTCATTCCCTATACTGTCCGCAGTCTCTGGTCATTCCCTGTACTATGTCCGCAGTCTCTGGTCATCTCCTGTACTGTGTCCGCAGTCTCTGGTCATCTCCTCTACTGTGTCCGCAGTCTCTGGTCATCTCCTCTACTGTGTCCGCAGTCTCTGGTCATCTCCTCTACTGTGTCCACAGTCTCTGGTCATCTCCTGTACTGTGTCCGCAGTCTCTGGTCATCTCCTGTACTGTGTCCGCAGTCTCTGGTCATCTCCTGTACTGTGTCCGCAGTCTCTGGTCATCTGTACTATGTCTCTCTGGTCATCTGTACTATGTCCACAGTCTCTGGTCATTCCCTGTACTATGTCCGCAGTCTCTGGCCATCTCCTGTACTGTGTCCACAGTCTCTGGCCATCTTCTGTACTGTGTCCGCAGTCTCTGGTCATCCCCTGTACTGTGTCTGCAGTCCATTGGTTCAGAATATTTTTTTTCTTGTTTTTCTCCTCTAAAACCTAGGCGCGTCTTATGGTCAGGTGTGTCCTATGGAGCGAAAAATACGGTATATATATATATACAGTATATATATATATATATATATATATATATATATATATATATATATATAACGCCCTCTAGGTTAGCCAGTAAGGCTGTTTGTTTGTTTTTTTATAGGCACAGGCTGAGTAGCAGCCTGGGACGAGTCAGCCTGGGAGTGAGGTAGAGAGGTTACCTCAGGACAGGCAGGAGGCTCTAACAGATCAGGGTTTCTGGTGCTCTCCCACCTTTCCAGAAACCGGGAGCTTTCTGGAGGAGGGATGGAGGAGGGAATGAAGCCCAGATCTGCCCATTTGAGGGACCTTGGCTAATCCCCTAGCAGGAGGCTGGGCATGGTGACTAGTGCAACACTGAGAGAGCCTGGGAGCAGAGTCAGTGTCAGATGGAAGATGAACTGAGGAAGACTAGAGTGTGTGGAGCCTGGGGGGGGCTCAGAAAGGAGGAGGCCTACCTACAGGCTGGTGCTGGAGGATCTCCACTGCCTCAATGTCCCCATGGGAGGACAGCCTGTACAGGTGGGAAGGAGCCAGCCCAGCAAAAGGCCTGAAGGTAGCCATCAACCAATTAGGCTTACAGGAGAGGACAATGTGAGTACTCTTACACCATTTGGGCCAGAAAAGGGGAGAGGGTGGTCAGGTGGAAAACCCAACTAGTTTCTCATCTCATCTAGTACTACCTGTTTTAAATTGGCAGCTTCTGGGACCCCTTGTCCAGGGATATTCTCAGGCAGCAAGGTGAAGGGGAGGATTCATCTGGGGTTTGAGGAGGTACATCAGAGAGCCTTTTGTGCACTCAAAGGAGAGACTGTTGCTATACATATTTTTGTGCATAGTTGCTAAGGAGTTTGTCCTCAAAGTTCTGCAGTTCTTTGGACATCCCATATACCCCTAGACCCCATCCAAGTTCTAAACCCCTAATAAAATCACAAAACCAAGCTCAAGGACTGTTTAATGACTACACCACAGGTGTATAAAATCAAGAGCCTAGGCATGCAGACTGCTTCTACAAACATTTGTGAAAGGATGGGTTGCTCTCAGGAGCTCAATGAATTCAAGCGTGGTACCATGATAGGTTGCCACCTGTGCAATAAGTCCAGCCGTGAAATTTCCTTGCTACTAAATATTCCACAGTCAACTGTCCAAGGGTATTATAGTAAAGTGGAAGCAACTGGGAGCAACAGCAACTCAGCTATGAGGTGGTAGGTCACGTAAAATGGCAGAGTGGGGTCAGTGCATGCTGAAGCGCACAGTACTCAGAGTTGGCACCTGTCTGCACAGTCAATCGCTAAAAACCTCCAAACATCTTGACCTTCAGATTAGCACAACAACAGTGCATAGAGAGCTTCATGGAATGGGTTTCCATGGCCGAGCAGCTGCATTTAAGCCTTACATCACCAAGTGCAATGCAAACCATCAGATGCAGTGGTGTAAAGCACGCCACCACCAGACTCTAGAGCAGTGGAGACGTGTTCTTTGGAGTGACAAATCACGCTTCTCTGTCTGGCACGGTACTTGATTGAATGCATTGTGCCAAGTGTAAAGTTTGGTGGAGGGGGGATTATGGTGTGGGGTTGTTTTTCAGAGGTTGGGCTTGGCCCTCAGTTCCAGTGAAGGGAACTCTTTAGGCATCAGCATGCCAGGACATTTTGGACAATTTCATGCTCCCAACTTTGTGGGAACAGTTTGGGTATTGCCCCTTCCTGTTCAACATGACTGCGCACCAGTACGCAAAGCAAGATCTATAAAGATATGGATGAGTGAGTTTGAGGTGGAAGAACTTTACTGGTCTGCACAGAGTCCTGACCTCAACCCAATAGAACAGCTTTGGGATAAATTAGAGCAGAGACTGCAAGCCAGGCCTTCTCGTCCGACATCAGTGCCTGACCTCATAAATGGGTTTCTAGAAGAATGCTCAAACATTCCCATAAACACACTCCTAAACCTTGTGGACAGCCTTCCCAGATCAGATGAAGCTGTTTTATCTGCACAGGGTGGACCAACTCAATAATGAACCCTAAGGACTAAGACTGGGATGCCATTAACGTTCATGTGCGTGTACAGGCAGGTGTCCCAATACTTTTGGCATAATAGTGTATATATATATATATATATATATATATATATATATATATATATATAGTTTAATGGTAGATGCATTTTTTAGTGAGTTCATGCCAGACAGGAACTAAACTTAAGGGCCTGTTACCCCACTTTTATTAAACAGTAACTGGAAAGTCCTTTCAACACAAGGCTTCCCACACAGGGGGTTTCAACTTCACTCAAAATAATACACAGTGAAAATTCCGAGACACCTGGCTCTCTGGTTAGCAGTACCTCTGCTTAGCTGGGTCTCCCAGACCACTGGCTATTCAGGCTCTCTCAGCCTAGGTGACAGCTTCTTGCTCTTCAGGCCCCACATGGCCTCTTAACAGAGTTTTCCCTGTACCTCAGCTTGCTTCCTCCAGAGACTCAAGGATTCCCTCCAGCCCCTTGGACTCACTGGCCTCTGCAGCTTCCTCAACCTCCCAGACCCTCTCTTGGTCTCCCAGACTCTTGTAGCGAGCCAGACTTTCCCAGTCCTTGGGCCCAGAATCCCCCTCAAAATGGTTGTAGTCTCCACCAGGAGCTTCCAGCTCTCCTGACAGGGCTCGGTCTTCAGGCTTGTAGCAACAGCAACTGCTATTCCACCTCCACCACTTGTGAGCTGTGCTCAGATCTGCCTTATAATGGGTGTCTGCACCTGGACACACACACACACCCTGCCAAACTTCTGAAAAACCTGGACACAAGACTGAAGACTCCGTCCCATCCAAAGTCCTTCAGGCTTATACCCCGATCCAGACTTACCAAATCCAGGGAAAGCTTAAAACATAGCTTTCTCTGCTCGCAAAACATTTCTTGGAGCCTTTCAAACTGACTGTTTGAGAGTCTTGTGTCCTTCTCAAACCCATTTCCACAGTGACAGAGCCTCGCACTGTCACTATATATATATATATATATATATATATATATATATATATATACACACAAATGTTTTACCATTCATTTTTATGAGTTGTTTCACAAGGTGAGGGTTCACATACTGTATATGTTAAGGTTTAGACCAACTGCTGAGCCCAGGAGATTGTGGAGAAATTTAATAATTTGCTTCCAATCGCCATTTATCATTGGACAGTCCCACAGCATTAAAATGGTAATACACCCAAAAGCAAACACTTACTATATAGCAGCTTACCGATAATTAGATGTGATGTCTGAATTTTTTTTATTTGTTAGGCTTTCTTTCTGTTATTTAAGTTGTTTTTCACCAGAACAAGCTGTTTTGCAGATGTAGCAGGTAGGGGTTTGAGACAAACCATTTGCCACTGACAGGGGTGCTTACAATAATCAGCTTTTTTTTATGTATGTAAAACCTTTACTTCAAATGGAACAAAACTGTTCACTGTAACTGCATAAAAAATTTTACCTGGGATTTTGCTTCAATTTGTTTAGTGTATCTAAATCTGCTAGTACATCTAACTCTACCTTCCTCAAGACTGATAATCATGCTGTCTAAAGGCATCTCTGTTGCTCCTTCATCCAGAGTGTAAGCACCCTAGCACAGGAGGTGTGTTACTGCCCAGATAACCAGGTGAAAACAGAGGGGAAAAAAAACCTACGGTTCCATGCACTCTGTACTTAAAAAAAATGCCAGTTACCTTGACAGAAAATGCTGTATAAAAAATGCTCATATTTAGCATTCTTGTGCTAGCATTTAGCAGCGTTTAGAAGCCTTAGCATTTCTGAGAATTTTTACAGCAAAACATTAGGCGCATTTAGCAGCGGTAACATTTTTATTCTGCCCGAAAAAATGCCCTCAAAAACGCAAACCAGAAGGTTTTTTTTTTCTGCCTCTGTATGCTGAACTTTTAAAAACGACTCTAAACTACTTAATGTGCATGGACACTTACAGTCAGGTCCATAAATATTGGGACATCGACACAATTCTAACATTTTTGGCTCTATACACCACCACAATGGATTTGAAATGAAACAAACAAGATGTGCTTTAACTGCAGACTGTTGTAGTAGAGGCCTGGCAGAGCATTACCAGGGATGAAACCCAGCGTCTGGTGATGTCTATACGTTCCAGACTTCAGGCTGTAATTGACTGCAAAGGATTTGCAACCAAGTATTAAAAAGTGAAAGTTTGATTTATGATTATTATTCTGTCCCATTACTTTTGGTCCTTTAACAAGTGGGAGGAACATATGCAAACTGTTGTAATTTCTACACCGTTCACCTGATTTGGATGTAAATACCCTCAAATTAAAGCTGACAGTCTGCAGTTAAAGCACATCTTGTTTCTTTCATTTCAAATCCATTGTGGTGGTGTATAGAGCCAAAAATGTTAGAATTGTGTAGATGTCCCAATATTTATGGACCTGACTGTAGGATAACATTAGCTGCTTCTAGAAGCATAAATAAAAAAAAAATGCTAAACGCCTCTAGAAGTGGCGTTTTTTTTAAGCCAGTGTGCATGGACCCTAAAAAAAAGACGACATCTAATGATTGGTAAGCTGAAATACTGTATATTACATTTTTGGTTTTGGGTTTATTAGCACCTTAAAGCAGAGTTCCACCCAAATGTGGAAGCTCCGCTTATCTGCCTCCTCCTTCCCTCCACTACCACATTTGGCAGCGGAGGGCAGAGTGGGTACATGGTTTTGACTGGTACCTGCTCCCACTTCTGAGCCAGAGGTTCAGCCCACCTCCTTCCCCCCACAGTCCTCTAAGACTATTCACATGTCCCAGAAGACTGCAACCCAGTCACAAAGCACAGTGTGATTTGTGCATGTGCAGTAGGAAACCGATGGTGAAGCCATGAGGCTTCACTGCCGGTTTCCCTTAGTGAAGATGGTGGAGCAATCGAAGAATCGGCTTGGGGTGGCTCGCTGGATCCCTGGACAGATAAGTGCCCTAATATTAAAAGACAGTATTGTGTAGCTGCTGAGTTTTATTTTTTGGGAGGGGGGGCTGGAACTCCTCTTTAAGGTATCTAATGGAGTCCTGACATTTCAGGCACAAAGAGCTTAAAGTGGTTCTAAAGGCTCATGGGTTTTTGCCTTCATGTATTCTATGCATGAAGGTAAAAAACCTTCTCTGTGCAGCATCCCCCCCAGCTCTCCTAATACTCACCTAAGCCCTCTCTTGATCCAGCGATGTGCACTGGAGTCTTGGCTATCCCGGGACTCCCTCTTCTCATTGGCTGAAACAGAAGCAGGAGCCATTGGCTCCCACTGCTGTCAATCACAGCCAGTAAGCCAATGAAAAGTGAGAGGGGTCGGGGCCGAGCCGCAGCTACGTGTGTGAATGGACACATGGAGCAGCGGCTGCCCCCATAGCACGCTGCTTGTTTGGGGGTACCCAACAAGCCGACCATAGATAGATTGAAATCCAGCCTTTTCAGCAGAATCCAAACTAATTTTGAGCCATCTATGGGCAGGCTGGTTGTACTGAAGTAAATCCATGGATCGACTTTTAATCCCCTGGGTAACATAACAAATGCTGGGCAGGTTTAGAAATAATGGAGGCTAATGCTGCTGAACCCAAGCAAGGAATGTGATTGATTTATCTAGTCTCCTTAAAGCAAATCTGTCAGGGGGTTAAAAAATGCTATAAGCAGCACCTTATGAAGAAAACATCTACAGTTGTGTTCAAAATAATAGCAGTGTGTTGAAAAAAAGTGAAAAAAGTGAAAAAAGCTCAAAATCCTTCTAATAGCTTTTATTTCCATACACGCAAATGCATTGGGAACACTACACATTCTATTCCAAATCAAAACATGCAGAAAAATAGATCAAATTTGTGTTGTTCCTCTAAAAAAATTGAAGAAAAGTGAATATTAGACTGTTCAAAAAAAATAGCAGTGTTTGTATTCTTCTTTACAAACTCAAACATTCACTATATAAACTGAAAAATGTTTGAAGATTTTGCTTTCCTTTGAATCACTTAATTAATATTTAGTTGTATAACCAATGTTTCTGAGAACTGCTGTACATCTGTGTTGCATGGAGTCAAGCAACTTCTGGCACCTGTGAACAGGTATTCCAGCCCAGGATGATTGGACTACATTCCACAGTTCTTCTCTATTTCTTTTTTTTTGCCTCAGAAACTGCATTTTTGATGTCACCCCACAAGTTTTCTATTGGATTAAGATCCAGGGATTGGGCTGGCCACTCCATAACGTCAATCTTGTTGGTCTGGAACCAAGATGTTGCACGTTTGCTGGTGTGTTTGGGGTCGTTGTCTTGTTGGAACACCCATTTCAAGGGCATTTCCTCTTCAGCGTAAGGCAGCATGACCTCTTCAAGTATTCTGATGTAT